GGGGGGGGGGGGGGGGGGGAATAACTGAACTGGGTATTTTAAATACCTTTTACACTTAAACACTTGAATCACTACCGCACGATAAATATTTTGCTCTGTAGCCGCGAAAAACTTAATGGTTGACATTCATTTAAGTGCTCTTGCTTTTGCGGGAATCGCTCTCAAATAGCCAGGAGGGGGGGGGGGGGGGGNTGGCATGAAAAAATTAAGTATGTGTGTATGTCTGTATGGTGGGCGGAGCACCATGCAGGGCACATTTCATTCCATGCAGACGTTTAATGATATTGAGCGAATACGTAAGGACACAACTTTTCTTGAAAGGGAAGGGGGAGGAGGGTTGAAACCCCCTTAGCAACCCTACCGCTCACGGTTTTGGCCCATATTGGTGCCCCGATACGTGATGCTACCATTTATCGGATCACTAGCCACTTAAGCTAGGCTCTCCTCTACTAATTTGCGTTTCATCTCGTCATTTAAATGAATTTTAGGTGTTTGATTTGCTAGTTAGCTGCCTATAATAAAATTAAGGATAACCCGACGGAATATGTCGATCTGCGATCTGTTCCGCAGAGTCATTTATTTTAGAAAAAATAAATCATTGCCGACCTTATTTTTTTTTAGAAAAATTATCTATAAGAAGAAACTAAGCTCTGAGTGCGCCAAGAAACACCCCGTACAGTTCAACTTTACGGACTTGGATCAGTCAATCATCATAGAAAACAAATGACAGTGTTCAAAACATACTGTAAATAAAAATTTACGAATCCTAAAAAAAAAAGAAAAAAAACCTTAATTACCCTAATAACCTTCCTTTAATTTTACTATATTACCTATTTTGTATGTCTAGGTTTTTATTTGTTATTGTTAGTTCTGCTATCTTTGGTATTTTTCTAAGAAAATTTCGATATGAAGTGGGCAGGTATTTGAAACACCGTTCTTTCAGCAGAGACAGAGAAGTACATAAGTGCTTCGATCTGCCAATACGAGAGCCAAATGGTGAAGTTGAAGTGAACTCACAAAAGAGATCTGAAAAATTTCAAGTTTTCGATTGGCCTCGACGAAAAAAAAGCAAATCAACCCATGATATTTTTTTAGATAATACCTTAATACGCTCTCTTCGATTGCATTTTTGCACTTAGCAAATCATACAAGACGAAACGAAGCGTCCGTTCCCATTCATCGCATCGCTGTGACGGTATTGCCGACTCTAAAAAGTGCCTTCAATTAGTTAGGTATACTACAAACATCCGGAGAGTTTGAATAGTTGCCTACTCAAATTTAAACCAGGCGCACAGTGCTTGATGACGTGGGCAAGTGCAAGTTAGTGTTGTTAGACAATAATAAGCGCTTTCCGACTGAAAATGGATTTTCCTCGTGTGGATAAATTCATAAAATCTGGATAAATTCTGAATATCCTCTGCATAACTGACTTTGATTAGTAATTAGAGTAGCTTCAAAACAGTTGAATTCAAAAATGGCGGGAAAATTTAGCCAATCAATTACGCAAAACACGACCTCACCTACATCGTCAGGTCGTCACTCTAGACATTGAAAAGTAACTCTGTGCTGAGCGACTCGTGGTTTGTTTTGGTTTGACTTCTGACTTTCGTTTTAGCGAAAATTCCGATCCGTGTCGTGGAAGAAAGCCGTCGAGATTCATAATTACTAATTTTCCGGTTCAACACGTATTTTCAGTAATTGTTATGTGTCTCTGTCATCGTTAAAATTGAATTATCCTCTGCAAATCTATAACACAGGTTTATAACAGGTATGAAGCTACTGTCAAATTTTTCGCTGTCGAACTCAACATTTCAGGAATCTAATTAAGTAAAAAAAATACACAAATAAGAAGCACATGATATGAGTAGATCGAGTTTAGGATAGGAACCTCAAACAAGATAGTGTTGTGGCTTCAGCAACAATTCCTGCAGTTCAGATTGTCGAAATTGCAAATATTACGTAGCAAGTAGAAATGCCTTCAGAAAGACATTGAATACTGCTGTCATGCAAGCAGTGTTATGTATTTGAGAGGAAAGCTCAAAAGAATTACTTACGATGTATCAAAACTAGCCGTAAGTGGCAGAATTTGCCAATGGAAATAAGTTAAACATCCATACTTTTGTTGGACCCTTAAGGGCTTTTTTTTTAATCCGAACTGCAGAGGATTGCTACAGAACGCATCACTTTTTTATCCTGTTCCATTGGCACGTTCCATGTGTTCCAGTGGAATGCTCGGACTGCTCTTCCAAGGTGGGTTGAGGTTGGTTCAGGCCGCGGTTAGGCTGGTTGAACCAGCCGTAACTTCTACCATTACGTTCCATGTTTTCCAAGGACAAAAAGAAAAGCCCTTTAGACACCATGTTGACTTCTTTGACCACTAATCGAAAGCCAAAAGTAATGTAAATATTTTTCACATAGCAAAACTACCTTTGAAAGCAGGGATACAGAAAGTGTCTGATTACAAGCCCGAGTGGTGCTAGTAAATTTGAAAGCTAGGAAGATTCTGCCTCTCTGTACGTTAGTAGCGAGAAGGAGGCTCACCCTCTCCAAAGTCTGATTTACTTGGCTGTAGCAATTGCTTATGGAGCTTGATTGTTGCTTTCAAGTCATAGGTCAAGTACTGTTTACTCCAATTAAGGGTACCTTCTTTCAGAGTGTGCTGAAAGATCACCTACCTTCAGTTCAGCATTGAAAGTAAATACGAGAGCCAAGATGGCAGATCTTTTACCGTACTTTGACATGATTTAAACTTATTTGGTGTTAGCTCTAGCAACGTTTAGTGTATGAATCTAGCATAAGCTTAGTCAGTTATGCTGATCAGAAGGTGGTAGTCAGAAATTGATGTTCAAGTATCATATCATTAGATGACCAAACTCTGAAGGCCATTTCTCCAAAGTGGTCTTTGATAAGGGGAAAAAAAATGAAACCGACCATTAGTTCAATTCACACCCATTGGTACAGTTACTAAGACTTGAAAATCTGCCTTTTAACTCTAGGCTTTGAAATTAAGATATTTGATTTAAGTCTAAAGCCACTTTCTGAGTTTTATCATTTGTCATTATCTTTTAATTACTAACCAAAAATTTGTCTAATCTCTTTCAGGAAATAAGGGTTTCTAGTGAGGCACCATGTCTAATCAACCATCCACAGAAAAAGAATTAGATGTTTCGCATGCAGATAAAACAGTATGGTTAGTGAAGGTAAGTCCATTTCTTCTCTCAGATAAGGTTGTGAGAAGGCGATGATGTACTACCTTGAAATTATGTCTCTATAGAGTGATTTTGCAAGAAACACGTTATGGAGTCTTAAAAATTTAAAAACAGCATTTTTGTCCAAAGTATAGAAACCTAAAGTTATTGTCAAAAGAACAATTTTCAGTGGCCTGAAGCTTATGATGTCAAATGAGTGGACAGCCTTTGGTTTTAACCATCAAGAATCAAAGATGACATGGTCGCTTTCGAATTCACATTGCAAGCACAATTTTTCATTGGAAAAAACAGTGAAAATATTCACTTCAAACCATTAAACAGCAATGACATTGCGTACAAGGTTAGGATTCATGACCTCCTTTTATAATTGCAACCAGAAAGTAAAAGAACCAAGACTTGAGAACACTGATGAGAACAGGAAAAACAAGGGTGCCCCTTATGATTTTTTTAATTTTTCGAGGGTTCAGGGGGAATTGATTAATGTTTAGGTTACAAATGGTGGAAGGCTCAAAACTTTCTGCACCTCTTTGTATTCCTCTGTGTACATGACGTCATTTATTTGCTATGAGCATGAAATGCTGTTCTATATCGACAAAATTTTCTCCAGAAGTATTACCCATGCCTAAGAACTGTAAAACTTGAACTAATCCTGTCTGTTTGTTTTAAAATTGATTTCAGGTTCCGAAATATATTGCAAATCGCTGGGAGAAAGCACCTGGGAACATCGAAGTTGGGAAACTCAAAATTGCCAAGTAATATAAAATAATTTTTAGATTGACCCAATATTTATTTTTTTCTATCTCTTTAGTGATAAGTACCTAGGTTTGTTTTCTTTTACCAAGAATGTTATGAAGGATGATTTAATATTGTGATGAAGGCGGTGGTGCATGTCTTGGTCCACTCAGTGAATAAGCAGCACACGATATAGAAAATAGACCCCCCCCCCCCCCNCCCCAAATGGTCATAAATTACACTCAAACACCTAATTAAATTCAGAGGTAAGGTAAATTATCAATCGGTCAATATTATATTTTGAAACATAATGCATCACAAGGACCAAAAAAAATATCTGATTACTCAGTTTAAAAATGCTTCAAGAAAAATACTGAAATTTTGATGAAGATATCTGTCCTATTCAACTGAACTCTGTTTACTTTTTCAGCTCGATCCTACGAATAAGTAAAATTAAAAATATATTTTAAGTTTTTGCATGTGCATGAACATGTTTTCCCTCCAATGAATTTTGTGTCTCCTTGATTTTTCAGAACTAGTGTTCCGGGTGGCAAAACCCAAGTAACACTCAATCTATCAGAATCAGTGATGTTGTTAGCTGAGCCAGGCGAGAAACCCATTCCACGTCAACACAGGTTGGATGTTTCCCAAGTTACCAGACAGACACTTGGTGTTTTCTCTCATTATACTCGTAAGTTTTTCCTCTTTTCTCTCATCTTATCATTGTGTTGGGTAAAGAAAGAAATGATTAAATTATGAATTGAGGTACAGCAGCTCCAAATGAATTGAGGATATTTTAGTTATTAACAATACATTTCAGTGAGGTTAGTTTCTTCCATTTGTTTCATTGATAAATTCACTTTTGCCCAGGGCTTGAATAGGTTTTCCATTTTAATTTCCTCTAATGTTTCATCTTGGAGCCATTTGTGGAATGATATTTTAAACTACTGTAACCAAGGAATTCAGGGGTGCAGAAAGTTTTTTGCCTTCACATTCTTGAGACAGCTTTCACATTACACAAACTGATTGCGGTGGACGCACGGGTCGTTGGTATGTTGGAGTATTTTTTTTTTTTTTCTGCCAACGTACGTTAAAAACTCAGCATTAAGCTGAAAATTCTCACAACAGAGGGAATAACTCCTTTGGAGTAACGGTTTCCCTCATAGAGATATGCTGTTTGGTGCAACACTAGTTACGTCCATATTCAGGAAGGCAACTGCAGACGCGTTTCGGCCTTGTTGGGCCAATCATCAGTGCAGTGCAGCCTCCTGAATNTTGAGACAGCTTTCACATTGTTGTCCACCTAAGACTTCCTTCCCTTCAAATTGTCTTAGTCAGTCTTCGCATTTCTGTCCTCACATGACTTATAATACTGCACACTGATGGCTGCGGCTGACTCATAGAGAACATAGAGTCGCGATGTAAATGGGAGAATTAACGCCACGTTTTGGTCGACAAGTTCCGAGCCGAGTGAGCGCCGAGCTTCAGTCACTTTTCGGATACTGTTTACATTGAATGGTAGAGCCCCATGTATCGAAAGTGACCTGGCATGACTCAGGAGTCTCGGAATTCGGGACCTGGAAAATGCTTACAAGCGGCGCCAGCTCTCCCATTTACATCTTTGTACTCTTTGATAAGATAAGACAGCATGCTTCACTATTTTCTTTGCATCAAACATTTAGTTCACAGTTTCCTTTGCTGAATGTGATGCGCCTTGCAGTTTCCCTCTGAAAGATTAACACATTCGTTAGTTTCATTCACAAAAAGTAGAGCTATCTTCATATTTTGAAAACCCCTTCTTGCAACCTCACAATTCAAAAACCTCTTTTCGGCAGCCTTCTTATCTCTATCGTGACTGACCACGACCAGAGTGGTCATTTGGTCTCAGAAGTTTTGCATTCCTGAAGGAATGTAAACGCAGCTGTATGATGAACTATCTTAATTGGCAATTATACTAAGCTGTCACTCTAATATGTCTTATTTTATTGTTTCAGCTAAACCAGATAGTGATGCAATAGTTCCTGAAACCGAGAAACTAGTCCTTGAGGGAAGAATTAGCCAAAAATTAGAATGTCGACCTTATGGTAAGAACTCTTTCTTTTCATGATGCAACAATGAGGACCCTCGTCAAACAAGTTGAAACATGTTTGATTTACGTTCGTTAATGAAGGGGTGTCCAAACCAATTCTTGCCGGAACGCTATCAGTATCGTCTTAAACGGATACTAGTGGCGGTACCAACAGTGGCGATTATATCGTTAACAGCCGGCCTAATCTGAGTTCTGCGAGCTTGCACTCGATGCATTGTTGCCCCGTGTGTCGGTTCGTCAGATTGCCTGGTGCGGCGGCGCGTAAAATAGATATTATTTTTGTCAGCTCCAAAAACTTAGATTGCTATCGGTAAGATACTGCTCATATCATAAGTATTTCCTAATGGAATTGTTTCGGTAGCTTACTGACAATCAATAGAACAGCCCTACTCAAATGGCTGTCATGCTGCTGTCCAATAGGAATTAAGGATGGAATTGATGGAAGGCAAGGCACTGCTGATGTTGTGAGCACTGTGGAGTTGCATAAAATAACCACTGCACCTGATGGTTAAAAGTAATCAAGTGCCACCTCAAGGAGCTCCATTGATATATTAAGAATTACTCAATTGTCCCAGATGATATACCCTTCTCTTGTTTTGCTTGGTTAGAATTTGAGGTTTCTCCCATGATTTTAGCTCAATGAACACAAAAATTCAAAATCCTTTGCAAAAGTCTTTGCCTTTTCTACGGCCATCTCTTTCTTAACATTTTAGCAAAAAGTACCTCTCACCAAGATGATCCAGTGCTTTACGTTGATGAGAATCCTACAAGCTTAGCTCATTCCGTACTTAAAATGGGGGGAAAAATGGGCGCTGCTGATCCATCGTGGTCTTCAATTTTAGTCCATTTTATGTTATTTCTGCCCCTGTTCCTTCATATCCCTCCAAATCTCTTTTTCTTCTTCTCTAATTGAAAATAATGTGCATTCTGATCATTAAACTGCCTATGCTACTACATGGAGCTCTTGTATGCCATTGAAATTTGCAATTAAAGTAATTTTTCTCAGAAAATTAGAACTTGGAACAGTTTCTGTTTGAACTAGTTTCTCTGCAATAAACTCTGAAGCTCAAAAGAGTGCTCAGAGCTCAGGCTGTAATGGAGGAAATTTCCCACATTAAGGCGTGAGTCCACGTCTATATTCAGTTGAACTTTTTATTATGCACCGTTAGGGAGCAAAAATATCAGCAAGGTTGCTGTGGTTCAAGCCTTGGAGTCCCCAAATGAAGTGGCACCACTGCCAATAGATTTGCTCCCTATCTGTGCATGGCGTATTGGACAGGACTCTCACAGGATACAGGAGCTGGACTCTCACTGTAATGAAGGCAATCCCCTTTACCACAGCTTCAACTTTTGAGAGCTTTTTTTGAGCTTGAGAGTTTGTTTCAGAGAAAGCCAGTGGCGCCATAGTGTGTCTCGTGAAAATACACGACGATAAGTACTTCAGTGGCAAGCCCCTGCGGCATTTAATACCTCGATCATTGTGTCCCATTCAATTCCCTGTTTTTACTGTTTTAATTTCTGCTTACTTTTTTTTGGAAATTATGTAAGAGTTCATTGAATAGCTCTCAATACATTCTATAGGTATACTAACATCTTCAAAAGTTCTTGATTTTTCATCTCTAAGTTTGCTTTATCTTCTAAAATTTCTCGAAAATGAGATGATTTTTCTGACTTTACCGGCTCATTTAAAGGGAGGGAATATTTGAATTATTCTGAAATCTTTGATGTATGCAATTTGTGATTGGTGTTGAGTTGAAATTGAGCTTGTTCCGTTTCAGCCGATACAACCTACATGAAGTTGAAGGTAGAGTCCATCAGGAAAGCAATGGAGCCAACCAGGAAAGTAATGCGTTTAGATAGAGTGGTCCAAAATTATAAACCTGTATCAAACCACAAAAATAATGTAAGTTCTTCTTTTTCATTTTATTTTCTTTGTATGATTTTGTGTAGACAAACTAGATGAGAAAATCCATTCTAGTAAATAAAAAAGATTAATGATGTGCAAGATGCATCTTTGATTTAATATCAGGTCCATTGATTGCTGCGTTCAATTTTGAGTAAGTCAGGGTTGGTGGGTTTATTGGTTATTCCCTTTAATTTTAACGGAGTTAGAATGAGGCTGTAGCATGTATTTAAATTGCCTTGATAATAGTTCTGCCCAAGGAAAATTGTAGCAAGGAATGCGTCTCCGAGCTTAGAAAAGTTCAAAACAGCTATTTTGGCCAGAAAAGAGGATTTGTGATGTAGCAGTTTATAAAGTTTCTCATTGGTCTGAAGCTTAAGACATCATATGGAGCGACAACTCATGTTTGCATCCACCATGAATCCAATGCAACAGAGCCACTGCTCTCATCCTACCTTCGAAACGTTTCTGAATTTTTAAAATAAAGTGTTCTGTTGAAAGTAAATGTTCGTCACTTGGATCAGTTATTTTCATTGATGAAAATGGTGTTAGCACATACCAGTTGGTATGCGTAATCTTTTGTTCAAATTGAGATGGAAAAGTAAATAAACAAATGTATGTGAAAGGATACGCGGTGGTCAATTCTTTAAGTGACACAACAAAATCTGTTGGTGTAATATTTCTTCTTTTGAAATGGGGTTAGATTTTTGGCAACTTGAAAAGTAATTCTTTTAGCTAATATTTGATCAAATGAAGGACAAAAACAGGAATTCACTTATTCTCATTTCATCAGATTAACTGTAAGGATGATTAGATGCTGAAATAAATGCTGAAATTCGCTTTAAGTGTATTACTAGACATTTTTCTCTACTATTTTTTGGTAATTTTTTCTCAACTTTCTGCATCTTACATAGTTTCTTACAAAGGGTTTTTCTTATAAATATAAAAAAAAAAAAGCTAGCTCATTCCATAAGGTTTCCTCTTTCATAAATGACCTTTTTTGCTGACATTAAGAACAAAATCTGTTATTCTGTGAAATGTGTTTTGAGTTTTAATATTTGTAACTCTCGTAGAAGATTCATCCTAAAGCAAGGTTGAAAAAAAGATTGCATAGTGATGTTACCCTCAAGGATTTTTTTTTTTAAATTTGTGTCTAAAATATTTCAATTCCATTCAGAAGTTTTTCTGGCTATGTCATGGCTGGTTTTTCATTTTTCAGATTGAGTACATGGAGAAGAAGAAAGCAGAAGGGAAGAAGGCCCGTGATGACAAAGAATCTGTTATGGAAATGTTATTCGCTGCTTTTGAAAAACATCAATTCTATAATTTGAAAGATCTAGTTCAGATAACTAAACAGCCTCCTGTAAGTATTGTTTGTCACTTTGCAAGTTGTGGACTGAAAGGCAAGTGACCGGTTGTTGCCATGCAATGTGAGGTTTTCTTGTTCATTGTATCCTACCATGACCATTTATGTTTGTCCTTTTTTCTCCCTATTTTAACCCATTGACTTATGATTTAATTTGACCCTGCCGGGCCAGGAATTACGATTTAATTTGGCGAAAATCAGCAACTTTGAACACTTCAAAATAATCCAGATATTATTTCTCAAAGGGTAAAAATTGACAAAATAAGCATTCACAATACAACGTTTGAGAAAAATGGTGAAAACTTTGAACACAATGATTTTTTTTTGTGGTTTATAGCTGTCAAAATCGCAAAATCAGCGAAAATCAGAAAATTTTGAGGTTATTTCATGTGCAAACCCACAGTAATATGAAAATACCATAACAAAACAAGAAATTACCGTACACAATAAGTCATAGGGTGGCCACACTACTCATATAAATATTGATGAAAACGCAATCTACCGGAGAATTGCTGAAGTAACGCAAACAATCAGCGGACGGCTCTGAGCCGTCATTTCAGAGCTGGCCCAGCGCTGCGATGACGGCTGGGAGCCGTCATTTTAAGTCAATGGGTTAAATGGGGGACCCATAAGAAATCGGAATTTTACTGTTACTGGGCAATGGTTCCAAGTTCTAATCTCTGTTGTCAGGAGGTGTCACTGAAGGCTACGTAGAGTCGCTCGGATGAATCGTAATGTTGTGGCACAATTTTTTTTGTCCATTGTATGAGCATTGAGCAGTGTCCAACAATACCTTGTTTTTTAAGATGGGTGATTTTCATGGGCAACTTGTGGTACTAAAGTTTTCTTTACCTACTCAGTGAATATGCAGCTAACGCTATCAAACTTAAAAGTAATGCTGCTTAAGAACGCGTGTCCGTAAAACCTGAAGTGTACAAATGTTTCTCTTGCTTTAAAAATGGTGATAAATTGCTCAATTTGTCTGCCTGGTTAGGAGCAAATTTCAAGGACTAGAACCTACAAAAACATTTAAAAAATTTGCATTCTTGTGAATGAAGCTTGTCAGATAACATTTGATGCATATACTGAATGGGCCTCGAGACAAGTTATGAGTCGTTATTACTGGTTCATATTTGGTTTTTTCTGTTCGTCTATTGACCCATTGACTGAGTTGTTATTTAGCAACGTTCAGCTCAAGATAGGCAGCTGACAGCTGTGCAAAATTTTTCCCAGGAAGACTTGCAGAAGACAATAATAGGAAAAATGGCATGAAAGGATGTAAAAATGCATCAATCATAATGGGACTTACTCCATAAAGCAGGCTACTTTCATGAATGAAAAAGATACTGAAGAATTGATGATTGCCTTTTTTTGTAAAAATGAATTCTTGGTTAAAGCTGTAGGCAGCAACTTTACGTTTCCCCTTTCAAAACCTTGGAACTTGATAAATGGAAATCTGCAAATAATAGTGCCAAAGACTTAAGAGTATCTTAATGAGTGTATCTTTTTCATCGTAGCGATTTTACAATCCATGGAAGGAAGTTCTGTCAAGGCACCTCTAGGTTCTCCTATATCACAATTTGCTTCTTTTTTTTTTATCATGCAAACATATTCTCAAATAACAGGGTGGTAGAGCAGTGCTGGGTCCACACTATACTGCAGAGAAACCAGGGCCAAAAATTCCTCAAATTTTTATTAGAGGCAAAAAGTTGAACTCCAATGAGTATCAGTGCAAGGCTGAGGGGGAGAGTTTCAGCTCAGGCAGATGCATTGGAATACTAAGTGGGGTAATTCGGAGAGACATTGATTTGAGTCTTTTTAGACCTAATGAGTAGGTCACAGTCGTCAACGAGCCAAGCTTAGCATCCCGCAAAACTTTAGACAGCATTGAAACGCTGTCATTACCATTCAAACAAAACTGCGGATTATCCGTAGCATCATGCCCTCCCCCCATCATTTCAATTCCTACATATATATACTCCTTTACTGAGTCACAAAAAAATGCATTGTTAAAAATTGAAATATTTTTTCTTTTCATTTATTGACTGTTTGTCTATTTTTCAGAATTATCTCAAAGAAATTTTGAACGATATTGGAAACTACAGTATCAAGGCTCCTCATAGATGCATGTGGGAGCTGAAACCTGAATATCGCCATTACAAAGCAGACGCTGCTGACCCACCAGGGACTTCATCTGACAAGAAATGAAGACCTCAATCCTCCACCTGAATAATATTTTCAAGTAATTTAGAACATGATTTTATCAACTAGGGAATTACCTCAGAAACAAGCGAGTTTGAAAATTGTTTGTAAAATTCTAATTCGATTCACTGCCATTCAGGGAACCAACAGCCCAGGAAATTTTCACAGCATTTTTGAGAAACACAGATTCATGATCAGTAGTATTTTTTTATGGCAGGTATTATTAAAAGAGAAAAAAATAGACAAGGATCATTATCAATGAAAAGACTTGGTGTGATGACAAATTCATCTTAATGATTTCAACAAGAGGTGCGTTGTTGAAGTAAATTGTTTGGGAATGTTTGGAAACAGAAGTACCCGGTGCCAAATAGTAGGCATTGTTCGACTCAATTTGAATTACCTGATAACTTGCGTGTTCACATATAAATGCACAATGTTTCTATCAAAAGCCGAACAATTTCGGGAGGTTTATTGGATCGATGAGCCGCGTATAGTGAACGGAAGAACCAAACAATATCAGATAAGTTTACTTCAACACATGCACCAAAGATGAATAAGATATGAGCATTAATCCTTCTTTTATCACAAATAATCTCGGAGGATAAATTATTATCTAGACATAATTTAAATCACACCAAATAGACAAGGTTGTGTGGCAAAATGGGCTGTTATTAGGGCTAAGATTTTAATTTTTCATCTCTATTTTTTTTTTTTTTTTTAAGCTCTTTTGAAGACAGTAACTGTATTGAATGTTTACTTAGCTCAACTTTAATCGTAATTTAAGCTCAACATGAACCTTTTACATGGAGCAAGTGTTCTTTCAGCTCTCCAATTCATGGCTGTTTTGAGAAATGACCGTTCAAATTAATATACTTCAGATTTTCAGTTATAAAACTCGGAAGAGCTATAATTTCTTTACTGTCACAACTTAGTCATTACACAGATGGAACAAAGAGTGACCATAGAAATATAACTGCAACCAATCTAATCTAGGAATAATTGTGCGTATGTAAGTGAACTTTGTTCTTTGTTGTGATATATCTTTAAAAGTAGGTATTTTCATTGGTTAATTTACGTTTTTAATAAATTATTTTATTACTGTAAACTGATTCAAAGCTCTGTATTTTCATTCGTAGTGTTCTGGCCATGCAACTAGAATAATTTCATAAGTGAGATGTTATGATTTTAATTCAAGATTAGTAAGTTATCAATTGCAGAATCAGAAGTGAATGATGCTGAATGAGCATATCAAACTGAATTCCAAAATTTTCAAATTCATTCTTCAAACATCAGCAATTGTGGTTTTATTATGTTTTTAAATTTGTGCTGGGGTGTAAATTTCAATATTCTATTCTTATACTTTAAACTCTTGGAAATTATGATAGAAATCTGTCAGTTCAGTCAAATTTCCATTATCCAACCCCTCATTATCCGACACGATTTTCTCACCTCTAAAACGTGGCATTTTCCGACAAAACATGACGGAAACAGGTTGTTAGGGCAAGAATTGAATATGCGCATAGTTTTTTGTATTTTTTTCTCCAATTAAATGAGTATATTTTTCAAGTATGATTGAAAATTGGCCAAGCTTGTGCTTTCCGAGTACAAACAGAGCCTGTAATTACACTTTTTCAATCTTTTCAACAGATAGATTTAAACGGAATCAGCCGAAACTTATTTCACCTTGCCTAATTTTCTCTCATGTTTTATTTTTTATAGACAACTAATCCACATAATGCCTTTAAAAATTCAGTGAATTTTCCCATAAATCATGAAGAATATGTTCACAAAATTTCAAGTTGCAATGTTGCTTGATTTTATTTTTAAAAAATAAAACATTAAAGAAAATTAGGCAACTTCTGATGTAGTTAGGCAGAATCTGGTTAAAGTCTTCTAGTTGATAAAAACAAGGGGAAAAGCATAGAATAAGAAGGGATGTCAGAAGTAAAGAGGTAAGAGATAAGACAACGACTATTCAAAGATCTTGTCTAATTTTGACAATGCTTCAGCCGTGTTTAGAATTATCGCTTCACTGTCACCCAGTTAGAGTAACAGAATATATTTTGTTCGGAACGCCAAAATAAGACAGTCACGATTTCAGTGGATGAATGCGAATAAAGTTAACTTCCTCTAAGTCAAACTGCATCGCGACCACACTGTAGGTTCCTTTGTAAGAGCTTTTTGTTCTCTTGAAAAATTTTATGGGTAAAAAAGTTTGACTTAGAGGAAAATTCCTTGCAAAGTGTGTTTGACTTAGAAGAAGTCGGCATTAGCCTCAGCAATTCAATTTCAGTAATAGCAATTGCAAGGCAAAAAAATTTCAGATGAATCTCATGTTTTTTGGAAATGCATTTTCTGGGACGTATTAGCGGTTAAAAGGTTTAAGGTATTACAACAATTCAGATAACTTGAATAATGTTGATTTTTATTGTTGGAGGGATGAAGTTGTTTTCTTAACAAAATTACACATTTTCTAAAATTAATAAATTAATATTGCAACTCACGGAATTTTTAAAAAATCAATTATAAAGATTAGAAACTTCAACTCAAAAAACAAAAATACTTCCATTATACACATTATCCCAATAATTTTGATTTCGGTTAATCCAGATATACTAGTTATTTAAATCTAAATAGTTTAAGAAAAACATTAATACGTGTAATTAAAAATAACTTTAAATATTATTTTTTAGATGGTTAAAAGCACAGTTTTACTACAAGTAGTAGTTTTACAAGTAGCTCCTACAGCACATTCTGGTGCTCTGCAAAACTAAAATATTTTCAATTTCGTTTTTTGACTTCAAGCGAACTACAAACTACTAACTCCGTCTGTGGCAGTTTAAGCTTATCGATTCATCTTAATTTATAAATGTTGCTCTCATCTTATATGAGCTCAGAAAAAGTTATGCACATAACTTTGGATTGAAATAGAAGAAAATTTTTATAAAAGAAAAGAATGAGCAATCAAATATAACAATTTTGAAAAAGACAATGAATACAAAAAAGATAGAGGCAATTAAAAGCATTCATCACTTGTCATTTTTTGCGCTTCTGTTGTTGGCCAAATTTTGGTGTGGGCATTATTAATGTTTTAGTTGCTGCTTATGAAAACTCCTCACTTAACTCGGACAGTCAGAACTGTAAGCATTACTCAGTAGTTGGATCTTGTGTCTTGTGTAGCTGATACTGCATGATCATCCAAATGGAAGAGCTTATGAATTCAAATCCGAATATGTGTCAGTCCTTCGCATCGTAACTAGGATTTAGAGAACACTGGTCGTTAATGTTGAGGTTCCGGAACTGATGTTAAAAATTTGCAATTTTTTCACCTCCTGCTCCAACATCAAATAATTTTCATTAATATCGATGGTTTGTATTCATCCAGTCTTGCAGAATCAGACGAAATGTGAAAGAATAGATTTTTCATTTCCGAATTCCAGATAAATATTCAATTTATCGTCTATAAATGTATCATAACATATCGTTTTTACTAAAGAGCACCCCGGGCTTATTTTAGCTCGTAATTTTGCCGCTGGGGGCCGTTCATAAACGGGGAAATTTCGGATTTTTTAACCCCCCCCCCCCCATCCCCTCTTCATGCTCTTGTAACGTGGGTCCGTGGATCCCATCTTTTTACACGTGAAAAAACAACTGCGCAACGATCTCTTCAGCCTTCCCCCCCCCCTCCTAGAGCGTTACGTATTTCATGAACGGCATAGGCGGATCCAGGGGGCGTGCACCCCCTCCCCCCCTTCGCCCGAAAGAAAGGAGTAAGGAAAAGGAGAGAGGGAGGAAGGAGCTTATATTTGGAACTTATTCTTGAAAACATCGACTCAAACTGCATGGAAGATGCTTCAAAATTTCAACAATTTTCTGGGGAAGTCCCCCCGGACCCGCCTTACGCCCCTTCCCCCTTTCGAGGTGTCTGGAGCCGCCTAGGGGCGGGGAGAAGTCAGACCGGACCAGACGTGATCGTCAGCACTTTTTTCGGTAGCGCGAGGTCTGTGCATACGATGATGACGCGACGCACAGTGGAACGAATCAATGGAACAGTCAGACAAAATTTTGGAAACTTTAAAAGCTTATAACGCCATTTATACAAACCGTGGAAGTTCTAAAAGGGGCTCCATCGGATTCCTCGTAAAATTGTCTTTCAGAAATATCCCTCGAAAGTTAAGATTCGACGAAATGAACATCAAAATTTGCGGCTTTAGGTAAAAACTAGGGGGCTACGCTCCCTGGCCGCTACGCGGCCCAACCCCTGAAGGCGCTCCGCGCCATCAATGGGCCGCTTCGCGGCCCTATAAATATTTACCCTCCTATCAGTGTTAGTTTTATTTTTCCCCTAAAAAATGACGATATGAAGTATACTTTAATTTTAAACTTTACTTAAAATTACTTTAAAATTAAAAGGACGCGTTTTGGAATGACTGCTTGATGAAATATTGCAGTAAAACAATCAACAATAATAGTCAGGTTATAATTAAGATTATAGGGATCGGGGATCGAACCCACTCCGAGTTTAAATTGGACGCAATCGACGTCTTGGACGACACGGCCACCGCTCCACATGAGAACGTTCGTGCGAATCTTGTGTAGATAAGTGTAGAGCTGATGCGCAGGCTACCCATCTACTGCGCAACTTCCTCGACCACTGCGCATCCTCCCGCGCATAGCGGTAGCAGTACCGGAGCATTCTGTAAACTCACTCACTTTTATAACGTGATTTTAAAAAAACCTGGGTCTTTTTTCCAAAATCTGATTACAGCGGGCTCATCTAGGGCCTATTACCTGTCGATTTACGCAAGAATCATGGAAATCGGCCCGGTAGAACGCTCAAACGAACTATGACAAAAAGTATAAATTTACACTGTTTAAATGGGAGAATTCGCAACTTTACCACGTAATATAAAAGAACCTGGGCCATATTTTGAAAATCTGAAAAGAGTTGGCTTATCTAGAGACAATTGCCCGTCGATAGCCGCAAAAATCATGAAAATCGGCCCGGTAGAACGCTGGAACTAAGCGTTACCAGTTTCGCAAAATTAGGAGGTCTTGGAGCTTATAGTATAGATGTTGCGGCCGATCTTCAGGACCGGATTTAAATTTTTAGCGCCCTGGGCTAAGCTTAGGGCGGCGCCCTTAAAAGTAGGCGCTCTCGAGGGGGGGATCCCCCAGACGCCCCACGCCCCTCCCATTCAGATCAGAGGGAGGATGTTGGGTGTCAGGAAAATGTTCAAATTCACCTTTTAAAAAACACGATTTTAAACAGTTTTGAGGTACGTTTACGTTTGCAAGTTGGTTTTGGAAAGTAAAAAGAAACAAAAGACTCGTTAAATTGAAAAAAAAAATGAAAATAAAATTCTCAAAAAATTTGCGCCCTCAGAATGTTGCGCCCTAGGCTACAGCCTGTGTAGCCTATTGGTAAATCCGGCCCTGCCGATCTTTCTGATTGGCTGGATCCGCTGTGCGACGCGACGATTACGACAAACGTCAGTGCTCATTTCCTCGGTTGCCGCTGCCAAAGCGCACGACTAATTTCCCCGTGCAATGTCAAGGAGCCCCGGAGGATTGAGGGAGGTCAGCCGGACGGGTTTCCGAACAATAGGAAAACAAAGGATGGCGAGCGCGCCAAAGCGTGGGTCGCGGGACGCATACATAGGAGCAAATGGAATTAAAAGGATTCAACTTGGTCCGGTGCCGTCGTTAAAGCCCCCCCCCCTCGCCCCGCCGCCGCCCCCGCGCACGGCCCACGGCACGGAGGAATCTCGACATCTCTTTTAATCAGGCTTAGCTTTTTTATGGACGACACGGCAATTAAAACTTTCCCAGGGATCCTCGTTTGTCACGCTCCTCATCCCGCGAGTCGAGTGTGCCGTTTGAAATATAGTCGGAGCCGTCGCGGGATTTTCATTTGTTTATTGATTGATTAATTAGCTCGGGTTATCATTCATTGGTGTTCAAGTGCCAGCTTAGCCTATAGTATACGTCATTACCTCCAGTGTAGGAAATCAGGGGTGCGAAAATATCTCGATCACGCGACCGGGCGAGTCGCGTGCAAAAATGGGAAGGCCCCGAAAACGGTGTGCTAAAATGGGAAAGCCGGCAA